TACAAGCAAGAAAAACAGCTTGTTGCAAAGAGCAATAACAGCAGCATTTAAACAACATTTAGTCAGGTAATTCAGATCAGTCCAAAGCATTAACACAAGCTTTTTTAAAGCCCTTGATCTACGTCCGAATAATGTTGATGCACCGACTTTAAAGTTCTTGAGCCCCGCTAGGACATCACATCACGTCAACACTTCAGCCAAAAAGTTGTAGCATCACTTTATGAAAAAGCTAAAACTGATAATGTCAACAAGCCCTGGACCAGATTAAAGCTCTGCCCTGATGATGAACAAGAGCATATTTAACCACCTCATAACAACCATTCAAGAAGAGGTATTGTTCTTTTATTATTATTATCATTATCTAATTAACTTTTAAAATCTTAATCTTATTAACTTTTTTTTTTTTTTTTACCTCTTTGTGTTTTATTTCAAGTCTGGGACAGAGACAGAAGCTGAGTCTTCCTCTTCAGGGAAATCCACCAGAGATCACCTCCAGCTAAGAAGTCTGTGATGACTGAACTCTGAACTTTTCCAAGAACAGGTGGGAGCAGGTCCAAGAAGAGGTTGTGAGTAATGAGGCTAAATACAGCTACACTGCAAAATGAGCAAAGCTCTACCTCTTTATTCTTGCTACTGTTAGTGAGAGGATTTTCTCCACCGCTGGAGATATTCACTGCAACTAGATCTGAGCTTTTGGCAGAAAATCTGAACAAGTTGGTCTTTTTGGACAAAAACTTCAAACTTGATTAGTTAGATTGTAAAAAGTCTGTTGCTGCTTATTGTTCTGGCTGTTATTGTATTTATTAAGATTTTCATTATTGTTAGTATAGTTTATTTATTGTAAAGAGTGTTGTTTATTTAAAATGTCATGTCATGATTTCAGCTCTCTGCCTCCGGCTGCTCTCTGCCACCACTCTCGGCCACGCCCACTTCTCTGCTGCAGAACGGAGGAAGCTTCTCCGTAGCTGTGGGCTGCACACAGACCTGTGCACCTGTACAGTAGGTGCTAAATAATTAAAAATAAACTATTTAAAATAAATATTCCATGCCAATTATCCATCAATCAGTCAATTGTGTGTCATGTCCACTCTTATTTTGAAAAATCGTGATAGAGTGAGTCCATGCAAAATGAACGACAATGTAGCGAGGGACTACTGTAATGTTTTTGTACAAAAAAAAGCACAGAAAAAGAAACCGTCCAGATGACCTGACTGAAAACTGTTGGATTTTGTGTGTGTTTTTGTATTTATTATTGTCCAGCTGTTCAAGTTTGTTTTAGAAAAAGGACATAATTTTATTAAAATTATACAACAATTAAGCCAAATCTTCTGATGGTAACAGAAAATCAAACAAGTTACCTATTATTAGGATAGTTTAGTGTTATGTGTGTGCGCGTATGCGTCTGTCCATTTTTCTGTTAGCAAAATATATCATGAACCAGTGGATAAATAGTAACGAAACACCCAGAAAGTAATCACTGTATGTATATCTTCAACTATTTAACGTTTGAAACAAAATCCTATTCAAGATGGCCACCACAGCTAATCCTCGTTAGCAAACACAAAATTAGCTATAGCCTGGTCAGATTTACAGATACTTAAATAAAAAAAGTTGGGTGTGGTAGTAGCTGAGGCTAATCCAAACAGATCATGCAAGCTCTTTGAAACCTTTGACATGCAAGGCATCAAGTTGCATGTATTCCTTCAAGGAATGCTAGTCTTTATTTGTGAAAATGCATTTTCACATTTGATTCATAAGTATCTTCTTATAAATTAAAGATAGTGAGAGGGAAAAGTCAAAAGGATACATCACATATTCTTGAGTTGTGACAAGAAGTGGTGGACAAGATCTCTAAATAACAATGTTTTGCACATTGTGAGGTGTATAAAATGAGTATGTTGTGAGCATCAAGTATGTATTTACTGGAACAATTTAGTCATCTGCTTTTAATTCACTGGGAGTTTACTTTATCTCACACTGCCCTGATACTCGAGTCACAGCAGTTTGTGCCCTTCCACACCCATCCAGAAAAATCTTTGTGTTTAAGTATCAGGAGAGAAGGAAGGCAGCATGGCTATGGCAAAAAAGGCAGACAGCTCAATTTGGTTCCCGCGCTTTCAAAAATAGCAAAGTAATAGAAAACTTGTCTGAGAAAAACAGCTCTAGATCTTTCATTTGGCTTGGTTTGAGTTTCATGAGAACATTGAACACACATGGATATTTGAAAAATAAAAAATAAAAATAAATAAAACCCTGCCTTTAATGCAAGTGTAGCTGCACCCTGAATATGTTGTCACCTGAACTGTCAGCTCCTGCTAACAGCTTTTAGTGCAGCTGCCCAGTAAATAAACACATAATGTTTGCTAGATTAAAATTTAGTCAATTTTTTTGTGCAAAAGAAAAATTACATTTGAATTTGCACTCTATCATTTTATGAATTATAAAGTAAAATTTGACAATAGTGCAGTAATAGCTGATTTTAAAATACTACACTCTATATCATGTCAAAGACTTGAAAATATTGTTTTTGTGTTTTATTGCCCAGAATTGCTGACAGCACAAGATATATTAAACTCTGACGTTTTGCTGTTTTTGTATGGCACATACCTAGGCCTGAATTATGATCAAAACACTCAAAAATGTCATCTTTTACACGATAAAACCTTCCTCCAAAATCTTTGTTTTGTTGTTAATTTTATTATATCCTATAAAAAGTAGTGTAAAACACAGGGAGGCATGAGGGAGCATAAGGAGGTCTGAGAGGTTTTCAGTAGTGAGGTGGTGACAAGGGACGGTTTAAATAACAGAGTGAGGGTGAAAGTGGGAACACCTGGGCTGAACACTGATTGGGCACAGGTGAGGGAGGCAGGCTGACTGGAAAAACACAGAGGAAGCTGAATGAGAGTGAAGAAACATTGGGAATCAAAACAAGACCTAAACCAGATTACTCAAATAAAACCTAAACACTGAAATACACATTTTTCAAATTTTGTATTACATTTTGTATATATATATTTTTTTTTTTTTTTCTTCCAATTTTGTTCATAATTCCTATAATTAGGGTTGACTTGTTATGCTGCCTTAATCTTAGACTTCTAAACGACAAATTGACCTCATTTCCTTAAATAAGTTGTTAAAACTGAATAGTTTTCATTTGGTACTATTTCTAGTTTAACATGTGATTCTCGACCTGCCATTGTGTATCTGTTCCTCTCAAACCCAGCTGGTCGAAGCAGATGGCCGCTTGTCCTGAGCCTGGTTCTGCAAAAAGTTTCTTCCTCATGAGGGAGTTTTTTCTTTCCACTGTCGCCTTCATGCTTGCTTAAGATGAGAGTTCTGTGATGGAGTTAAACTCAAAGCAGTCTGCTCCTCGGATAAATAATGTTAAATTATTATTTTTATACATGGATGTGTCTGTTCAGTGCCCTGAGATGACTTATGTTGTGACTTGGTGCTAAATAAATAAACTGAATTGAATTGAATTTAACTGAAAAACACAAAAGATTTGAACTGAACAGGAAAACACAACAGAACCCATAAATAATCCATGAAATCAGTGGTGGTTTCTGATATGGCGATATATGCAGCTGCCCAGGGCAGCATCTTGTCAAGGGCGGCACAGGCACCTGCCCACAAATTTAATTTGTGTGTCCTCAAGTGCAATAGTGTAAATTGTCTTATTCATAAATGGTTCAGACCTTCCTTGACAGTTGTGCAGATACATTTGTGGCTTGATAAAAGTACAATTGTGGTACAGATTTTCAAGTGTTCTACTGGTGCAATTTAGTAATGCCTTATTTTAACTGTTTATTTTGTACAGTCATTACTTTTTGTATTTGTATTGTGTACTTTTACATTAGTGGTATACAATTTTGTATGTGCTTTACTCTGTGCGTTTATTTTATTATTTTAGTTTCTTCAATTTTAAGTTTTTTTGAATAAAATATTCAAAGACATTTTGAGTGTGTCTGTGATGGTACAAGGTAATCTAAATGAAATGTCATGACGGAGCGTGACCACGTCCTCAAGGGTGGGGTGTGTGTGGGGCGGGGGAGTGGGGGGAGTTGGGTGATTCAGGTTCAGGGGAGGGGAGCACCAGAGGGATTGTTCGCCCAGGGCACCAAAAAGGCTAGGACTGCCCCTGCATGAAAATAATACTAAAACAAACTACAAATACATGTAAAATCACAGAAAAGTACAGATTTTTTTTATGTATGACTTTACTTTCAGCCGTGGTTGTTTTTTAGAGCAGAAATAAAGAAATGCAGAGTAGTAATTTCTCATGTAAGATACAATAAAATTAATTTGCAGCTCTTTTCCTCTGAGAAGGGTTACGTTTAGTTTTGTCATTTTCTTGAAGATAAAGAATCCGTAATCCTTAAAAGGTTTTCAGTGAGCTACAAAGATATTATTTGGCAGCCTTAATCAATTCTAATATTTCATTACAATTCTGAGAAACAGCTACACCTTACAGGTTTCACTTGCAGCACTTCAATACGCTGCCGTTATCTGAACAGTCTCACGGGTCCAGAAAGATTGATGCTTTTCTCCATAACTGAGGATGTTTGAATGGGCAAAGAAAGGTTTTGCAGCCTGACTAACTTCCCTCCCAAAGAAAACTCAAAATGCATGGTGGTCAAAACAGTAACAATAGGTTTAAAAGTTGCACACAGTTCAAAACCACCAAACAGCCTTAATAATGTGGAGTTTGTCTCGGTGTTGTCAGTCTGCTGTGCAAGAAGCCATGTTTGACTAATCCAACTGGAATTTTCTCAGCACTAAAACAATTAATGAGATTTCAACAACTCATCTCCAATGGAGGGAGGTCAAGGAAAAACTTCAGTCATTGCTTACAAATAAAAAAAAAAACAAGTTTTAGTGCTTTGATTTTACTTTTTGCAGCACACTGCACTATGTTGGCTGACCATTCTAACACTTACAAAGAAACAGAATTAGATAGTCATTTCTGAGCATAAAATATTGAGAACATAAACACCTACCATCAAATCGTTTATGTCTGGAGACGAAGGTGGTTCGCAGTGCATGACTTGTTTCATCAAGCAGATTCTCAAAGTCCTGTTTACTCTGTTGGCCAAATTTGTCTTCCATTTCTTGGGTGCAACATGTGTTTCCCTGAGGACATACACGCAGATGTTCCCCTGCAAAAAATAAAAATAAAAATGTTGTGTCCACAACAAACCAGACAGACTTAATAATATAACATGCAGCTATAGGTAAATGTCAACAGTGATCAAAATACTGTCAGAAAAAAAGAAAGTTTTGGAAAATTCATAGGAGGCTATGCAATAACAAACAGCAGATAAAAATTAAAAGGCATTTGGTTGGATTTTCTTATTTAATATAATTTATTTCATTGTGGCAGGTGATAATGTAACTGCCTGTATGTGCAAATGTTTATTTGTATGTCTCTTAGTTTCAATCATGAGATATTTTCTATCTAAAAAATAATCCTTGGATGCACATCTACAACTGATTTAAGTTTTTGAGTCAACCCAAAACAGGATGGCCTATTTGGCCCTCTACATTTGTAAAAACTATGATTGACCCCTCAGTAAATTATGTTAGGAAACTATAATAAAGAAAAAGTATATTGATCCAACCTAACGATGCATTTATGCCTCTCAGAAATGTTTCTACCTGGCAAATATGGTAATGAATGTGAAACTTATATTTCATTTTTGTAAAGCTCATTTGACTGTGTATTAAGTGGGACTGATGGTGTGGAGGTTTAAGGAGGTAAGCCTGCAACCAGGGGAAGGCCACCTGTTCAAATCCCCTGAACATTACATGTGGGTGAGAAAGGTGAAGCAACCACACCTTTCTCAATCCTTCAGCAAGGCCCTTAGTGCCCCCATTAGCTCCCTTGGGTGCCCTAGATGGCAGCCGGAAGCTCTGTGGTCAGTGGTTGCATCAGGATGGGTATTGACATTAAAACAATTACCAAATTTTGGTGCGAGTGGGCTTGCTGTGGCGATCCTTAATGAAGGAAGCAGCCGGAAAAAAAAAGAAGTCTTAAACCAACCTTTCCATAAAAAAGGTTCTGCCTGTAGGAAAAGCTAATACCCCTTTTCCATTAGTAACGGTACAGCACGACTAGACTCGCCTTAGCACGGTTCCAAGGCTTTTACGTTAATAACGATACGTAGAACCAGTCCATTTTTTCAGAACCCTTGTCTCTGGGGTACCAACCGGGCCGAGCAGGTACCAAAACATGACGTCATAACACTGTCGGTCACTGATTGGTCAGCGGGCAAAGTCATCGGCTGTTTGAGAAATTTCACAACATTCGATCCGCCATTTGCATTCACCGATGTTCGAACTCGAGGAGCGGCTGGACCTATTTTAAAGATTTTAAAAACAAAAATGACAACATCGTGGTCTAATGCTGAAGTGCAGGTGTTTTTTGTGCTTGGTGGATGATGACAAAATTCAGAACGAGCTAGATGGAGCTCCACCGGAGCCTTGGAGCAACCTCAGACCATGCGGGGCGTCTTCTCCCGGCTCCGAGCTCCGCTAGTCATCACGGAAGATCATACGAGCTGCTGACTCACAGGAAGCCGCTGCCCGGACCCTAGCCTTACGCACTCATAAAGGCTGAACCCCAATCCCGTCAGACGGGCAGACTGAGACAGGTCTGGCACAGAGAGTGGAAACGATTTTTAAAAACGTTTTATGTATATACAAGTATATATATATATATATATATATATATATATATATATATATATATATTTTTTTTTTATCAGTGTAGATTTAAAAAATAAATAAACGGTGCCGGCTTTATCACGAAATCCTGTTGTCACTTTAATGACTATTAAATAATCTGTTAAAGTTAACTGTTCTAGAATTGTGCCGCTCAAGGTGGCTGCATGTTGGAGCAGCTCTGTTACTTTCATTCTGAGATTTTGCTTTTGGAAACTTTAATTCCTGGTTTTCTGGATGTAAATCACATTTTTTGGATGATTGTTTCTTCTGGTATCGGATGCTGTGCAGCTGGAAGGATTTTTACTGAAACTTTTTTAGTTTTGGACATTTGTGATGATGTGTAACCATGGCAACAAGGCAGTTTTCTACAACCAACAGCAGCTGATTAACATCTCAAAAGCTCAAATAATATCTCAACTACAGCCCCAAATCTCAAATGAGTTGAAAAGGAAGTTCTGTGGACACATTCTCATCTACCTGCCAGCTGTGCTCGAGTACCTGACCACTGAGATCCTGGAACTAGCAGGAAACATGGCTCATGACAGCAGAAGGACGGGATCGTCCCTCTACACCTACAGTTGGCTGTCCGCAGTGACGAGGAGCTCAGCAGACTGCTGGGAGGAGTGGCCATCGCTCTGGGAGGAGTTCTGCCTGGCATTCGGGCGGTTCTACAGCCCGGGGGAACCGAGAGGCCAGCAGAGTCTGGGTGGACGTATCGGACGGCATCTGCAGCCAGTTTCTTAGGATCCACTGTGGGATGGACCTTTACAAGAGATCCTTCTGCCTACAGCCATCAGTATCTATAACATCTCAATGAAATGATAACGAGTTACAACAACAAATAATTTCCCTTTGGGATTAATAAAGTATTTTTGAATTTGAACTCAGCTGAAAAAAATCATAAAAATACACAAAATAATTGGCTCTCTCAGGAATATTTCCCTCGAACATGTTTAACGAAGAACTATGAGCTTTAATTCACTTTTATTCTTACCCACAGATGTACTAATCACAAAAGAAGAATTAAACTTTAAAGTAAAGCTAAAAAAAATAAATAAATTGAACAAGAAACAAAACCACAGATCTAAATTGAACAAATAAGTAGACACAATGAGTGCAAATTTTAAATATAATTGTTTTTGTAAAATCTGCTTCATCAGAGATGTAATGGTGAACTAAAGTTTATTAAAAGTTCATTAGCAGGATATATATATATATATATATATATATATATATATATAGTTTAATTTGATAATTGTAATAAGATGTATTCTTTTTAATTTACCAGAAACTTCAAAATGAATTCTCACCCTGTACTGAAACCCGTTTCAAGGTCTTACCACCAGAATTACCACCACCAGCTGGTAAGACACGTGACGTCAATTTGAACCTTGCCCACTAGAACCGGTACTGAAAGCAAAATGGAAACACAATGTGTACCGCGCCGAGTACAACCGTGCTATACCGGTACTAAAGGTACTAATGGCAAAGGGGCATAAGACTCATTTTCATCATACTTTTAGAGAGTTAAACATTGTTCTTGACATACACATAAAAATGGCCTCCTTGTTGTGAAATTAGCAGTTGACTTTTGTGGAACACCCTTTTTCTGATAGTCTTACTAGAACTTGACTGTAGTCAGTGATGTTCACTAGTTCGTTAGAAAAATAAATACATATGAAAAAAAACAAAAAAAAAAAAAAAAACCACCATTATTGATGCAGCTACACTGGCCTAAAGCTGGCATGACCATTCAGGTGAGACTAATTAGGTTTCCTAAATTTGCTCTCCACTTTCATAACTGTCTAGAGAACATATTTAAAAATAGTATCACAAAGGATGTAAAATAATATGCTGATATTTACTCGAGTTAGTTTTATTTTTGCCTAAAAATACCTGAAGAAATGTCAATGTGCCAAAGCGTGATTGTTTCTGTAAAGACTTCATGCTCCAACTAAAACCATGGGTTTGTAACTTTCAAATGTTAGTTTTAAGACACTTTTATTTAAAATCTACTTTTATGAATAACTGTGTGCTGTGTAAAAAGAAAATATGTAGCATTAAAATATAAAAAAAGCGAAAAAAGGAGTATATTGCAAGAGTTTCAGGCCAGAACCAAATGGCTTTTAGGTATCAAGAAATTTCAAATTATTGCCAACAAATCTGAAAATTGCTTATTTTGTTGTTGCTTATTTCAAGCACAAGCACCTTTTCAAAACCTCTAATAATTTAATGTTGAGTTTGTTTTTTTGGTACAAAAACTGTAATATCAAAACCATTGGGTAAACTCTGAAAACGTTCAACACTGAAGAGCTTCTGTTAAAAGTACTAAATGAAAAGTGTATTTTTTTTTTTTTGAAGAATCTCTAATCTGTTGGAAACATGACTGGAAAGCTACTTTGTAAACACAAATTACCCAAAACAAAAGTAGTATTATCCACATAAAGCCAAACGACCCTGGCTCGTTAACCAGTCAAATGACATTTAAAGAGTCGGTTTTTACTCCAGTTTCTCTGAACAAATAATGAGCTCTAAATGGACAAGACCTGGCAGCCAAAATATTAATTTGTGTAAACAGGATTTAGAATTTGGTGAATGCATTTTCGTTCCTGAAGTGGTTTAGTAATTAGAAGGGAGGGATTTATCAAAGAAGAAACAAGTGACATTCTTTAACATATCTTTCTCTCACATCATTATTGATGTGACTATATAAATAGTCAAACTAATGAAAACTTTATGACCCATATCATTTCATTTTACCAACCAGCAAGTTTAAAAGGGACACAGATAATGTATTTTTAGTATGTGACAGAATTCATTTAACACCCACAGCCGGCTGCGCTTTGGACAAATTTAGAAATCACTCGAGTTGCATGGTTCTACCTGATCAAATGAGATATAGAGGCACATGCTTCGTGGTGACGGCACTGTTGAAAATGCACTTTTCAGCAGCATCTCCCAATCATCTTTTCAGTTCTGGTGACACTACTATACAACAAAAGTCATATCACTCCCATACTTTTGAAAGTACTAATCATCTGATCCCAATATATTTGGTGTGAGTAGGACTCTACCAGGGCTGCCTGTTGCCTCTGTTCCTAACTTTTATGAAAATAATTTCTCTGTGCAGCTGGGTGGCAGAGAAATTCTGGTTTGCTGGCTGCATAATTTTAGGGCTCCAACAACGAATCAATAAAATCGATAAAAATCGATGATTAAAAGCGTTGGCAACGAATTTCATTATCGACTCGTTGTGTCGCGCGATTATGCGTCTTTCACGGCGCTGCGGAGTCGTTTTGTTCACGGGCAGTTCATTGTCAATGCTGACTGACTGAATAAAGTTTGGAAAAAAAAACCCTCTGCAGCGCAAGTTGAACAGAGCGAGGGGGGAGGAGGAAACAAAGCAGAGGCTGTTTTCAAAGGGAAATAAGTA